GTGGGATTTTTCACAGGAATGAATGGATGGTTCAACATACAAAAATCAAGTAAGCAGAATTAGAAGGAAACATCCTCAACCTGATAAACCTCATCTGTGAAAAGCCCACAATTAGTATAATATTTAATGGCGAAAGACTGGATGCTTTCTTCCCAATCAGTAATAAAACAAGGGTGTCCACTCTTGGCACTTCTATTCAATATTGTACTAGAGATTTGGGCCAGATTAGGTGAGAAAAAGAAAAGACATCAGATAGGAAAAGAAGTATCTCTCTATTCACAGATGACATGATATTGTACAAAAAAAATTCTAAAAAGTCCAGTAAAAAAATATGAGAACTAATGAATGAGTTCAGCAAGATTGCAGGATATAATATCAATATATAAAAATCAATTGTGTTTTATACCCTTGCAATGAAAGATCTGAAAGTGAAATTTTAAAAAACACTTCCACTTGCAATAGCCTCAAAAAGAATAAAATAGTTGGGAATAGAATTTATAAGAAAACTATAAAACTTAATACTCTGGAAACTTCAAAATATTGTTGAAAGAAATTAAAGAAGACCTAAACAAATGGATAGACATAGATGTTTATCAACTGGAAGACTTGGTATTATTAGGATAGCAATATTCCCCAAACTGATCTGCAGATTGATCACAATCCCTAGTAGAATTGTAACTGGCTTCTTTATAGAAATTGACAAGTTGATCTTAAGATTCATAGAGACTCAGAGGCCCAAGAATAGCCAAAAAATTTTGAAAAAGAACAACTATGTGGGAGAACTCATGCTTCTTGATTTTAAAACTTACTATAAAGCAACAGCAATAAAGACAATGTGGTATTGGCATAAGGATAGACATATTTCAACAGAACAGAGTCCAGAAAAAACCCATGTGACTATGCTCCTCTGATTTTCAACAAGGGAGCCAAGACCATGCAATGGGGGAAAGAATAGTCTTTTTAATAAATGATGCTAGGACATCTGGATAACCACATGTAAAATAATGAAGCTAGACTCTTCACATCATATACAAAAATTTATTCAAAATGGATCAAAGTTCTCAACGTAAGAGCTAAAACTATAAAAAACTTTGTAGTATAGTAAATTTGTATGACCTTTGATTTAGTTGTGATTTCTTAGATATGAGACTAACAGCATGCGCAACAAAAGAAAAATATAGATAAATTGGACTTCATCAATATTGAAAACGTCTATGCTTCAAAGGACATTATCAAGAAAATAAAAAGACAAACTATAGGCTGGGCGCGGTGGCTCACGCCTGTAATCCTAGCTGTCTGGGAGGCCGAGGTGGGAGGATCGCTCAAGTTCAGGAGTCTGAAACCAGCCTGAGCAAGAGCGAGACCCCGTCTCTACTATAAATAGAAAGAAGTATAGAGAAATGTAGCCAACTAAAAAAATATATATAGAAAAAATGAGCCGGGCATGGTGGCACATGCCTGTAGTCCCAGCTACTCGGGAGGCTGAGGCAGGAGGATCACTTGAGCCCAGGAGATTGAGGTTGCTGTGAGCTAGGCTGACGCCATGGCACTCTAGCCCGGGCAACAGAGTGAGACTGTCTCAAAAAAACCCCCCAAAAAACAAAAAACAAAGACAAAAAGACAAAGACAAAAAAAAAAAAAAAAGCCTACAGAATGGGAAAAAAATATATGCAAATCATATATCTGATAATGACCTTTTATTTTGAATGTATAAAAAGCTCTCAAAACTCAATGATAAAAAGACAAATAGCCCAATTTGAAAGTTGGCAAAGGATCCGAATAAACATTTCTTCAAATAAGATATACAAGTGGCTAATAAGCACCTGAAAGGTTGCTAAATATATTTAGTCACTAGGGAAATGCAAACCCAAACCACAGTGAGATACCACTTTACATGTACTGGGAGGGGTGGTTTAACAAAAATAATCTGATAATAGTTAAGTGTTAACAAAGATGTGGAAAAGCTGGAACCCTTACCCACCACTGGTATGAATGTAAAATGGCGCAGCCACATTGGAGGGCAGAATGGCAGTTTGTCAAACAGTTAATTATAGAGTTAATATATGATGCAGCGATTCCATTCATAGGGGGATGTGTGTGTATGTGTGTGTGAAATGAAAACACATTCCCACATACAAACTTGTATACGCATGTTTAGGGTTCCATTATGCATAACTGTCAATAGGTGGGAATAATCCAAATGTCTACCAACAGGTGAATGGGTTAGCGAAATGTGGTATATCCACACAATGGGATATTATTTGGCCACCGTAAGGAGTGAAACGGTGTTACATGCTACGACATGGATGAACCCTGAAATCATTATGGTTAGTGAAAGAAGCCAGACACAAAAGAACAAATATTCTGTGATTCCACTTCTGTGAAATGTTCGGAATAGGCAAATCTATAAAGATAGAAAGCAGACTGTGGTTGCCTAGGGATGATGGGCGGGGTGTGGGCTTGGGGCTTCTTTCTGAGGTGATGAAAACATTCTAATGACTGTGGTGATGCTTGCTCATATGTGACTATACTAAAAACCATTAAATTGAACAGTTTTTTTTTTTTTTTTTGAGACAGAGTCTCGCTTTGTTGCCCAGGCTAGAGTGAGTGCCGTGACATCAGCCTAGCTTACAGCAACCTCCAACTCCTGGGCTCAGGCAATCCTGCTGCCTCAGCCTCCCAAGTAGCTGGGACTACAGGCATGCGCCACCATGCCTGCCTAATTTTTTTTTCTCTATTTATTAGTTGGCCAATTAATTTCTTCCTATTTATAGTAGAGACGAGGTCTCGCTCTTGCTCAGGCTGGTTTTGAACTCCTGACCTCGAGCAATCCTCCCGCCTCGGCCTCCCAGAGTGCTAGGATTACAGGCGTGAGCCACCACGCCCAGCCCATTATCTCTTGAAATATATTTTTCTATCATCCCTTTGTCTCCTCTCCGTTAGCAACTTTGATTCCTTGTATTTCCTAATTGAAGTCAGCCCTTGGCTTTCTGATGCTATTTTCTTTTCTTTCCTCTTTTGGATTTTTTCTGTTTTGGAACATTTCTGTTGCTATGCCTTCAAGTTCACTGACCTTTCCTTCTTCTGTATCTAACATGCCATTAATCCTGTCCCATGCATTTTTCATCTTGATGTTGTAGTTTTCATGTCTAGAAGTTAAGATTTGTGACTTGTTTTTATCATCTTCCATGTCTGTTCTTAACTTTTTGAATAAAGGAATAGTGTTATGGTAGTAACTGTTATAATGTTCTTCTCTGCTAATTCTAATATTGGTGTAAATTCTGGGCCAATTTGGACTGTCAGTTGAATAGTCCCCTCATTTTGGATCATCTACCTTCTTCGTATGCCTTGTTATCTTTGTTCAGATGCTAGACATGGTTAACTTTTTCTTGTTGGATGTTGTATATTTTTGTGCTCTTATAAATCTTCTTGAACTCTGCTTTGCAATATAATCAAGTTACTTGGAAATAGTTTGATCATTTCAGGTTTTGCTTTTGTTTTCCGTTAGCTGGATCTGGAGCCATGCTGCCCTGGCTTCCCTGCATGGTCAGCTCCATTTCCCCAAAGGGAGGCTTTGCCTCCCTTTGCTGCAGCCTAGAAACTCTTCAAGTAGTAACCTGGGGCAATTGCGGGGCTTACCTTATTTGTGTTCCATCTTGCAGGGATCATTGTCCTTTGTTTTCTGAATCCAGTATTTTTGTTTGTTTTTTAAGAGATGGGGTCTGTCATCCAAGCTGGAATGCAGTGGTGCAATCATGGCTCACTTAGCCTTGGACTCCTGGGCTCAAGCAATCCTCCTGCCTCACCCTCCTGAGTAGCTGGGACTACAGGTGTGTGCCACCGCACCTGGCTTGATATCCAGCATCTTGAAATCACCGTTTCACATATTTTGACTAGTTCCTTTGGTTGTTTCAGGTAGGACGGTCAGCCTGGTCCCTGTTACTCCGCCTTGGCTGTAAGTTGAAGTTCCTGACAAGTTTTTCTGCTTCTTGTCTCCCCATTCTCTCCAAAGAGTAGTGGGGCAAAAACACTCGCAATTTTCTAAGTGCCAGAACTTTGCCTACATGGTCCCAATTTGTCCTCATGATAAGTAGGATTTTCTACCCTCATCTCCATTTCATAGCTAAAAAGTGAGGCCCAGATATTTGCTGGTTTGGAGCCCAGAGAGAACTGTTGGCCAGTGTTGCTGCCCGTGGCTCCACAAAGTTTTCAATGTTGCACTGCAGAGCTGCTGGGGCGCTACCTGATGGACACAATAAGTCTCCAGCTGTGTAGTCCTTAAAGAAAAGTTCCCACTCGTGGTGTGGCTTTTGATGTGTCCATGCCCCCACATGCTGTGTGCTGGCTTTGTTGGGCATGCACAAGTGCCTGGGTGTCATCCGGCCAGTTGACATCCGGGTGAAACTCAAGAGTGGGAGGGCCACGGGCAGGGAAGCAGCCCCAGAGATGTCAGTGGTCAGAGTTACCTAGCCTTCTAAGTCCATGGCTCCTTCTCCAGACTCAGGATCACATGTGGCGGACAGGGTGGCTTTGATAAGGACTAGGACCCAGGGGTTGGGTTGCTCAGTGCGCTTGAAAATTCTGTGATTCTATCATCTCCTGTGGATCAACATTTGGACCAGGTTCTAAGGAAATTCCAGCTTTCCTAATAATTCTTTAGCACACCTGTGCCTGTACTTACTGATTGCCTTTCATGAAACTGGCCAAGCAGTCAGCTGCAGTCCTTGGTGTCCAGTGTGAGCAAGACCTGGGACACAGTGAGGCTAGAACCAAGGACCTCAGTGCCTTGTGTGGGAGATGACACGTGTGAGGTGGCCTGCCTGCTAGCCCCAGGTCAGCTCAAGGTGCTGCACAACCTGGGAAGTGACACCCACACACTGTGAAGAAGGTGGGGGGAATCAGCAAAGATCCCTTCTGTTACTGCCTGCTTCAAGCGAGAGAGCCACAGTGGGCGGAGGAAAGTGAAAGTTAGAAGGAAAAGGCGAGAGAAGCCAGGATGGTTTGGTATCCAATGCGTGTTCATTTATTTTACACTTACAAAAGAAATTGCCCACCCCTTTGCCCCATTCCCCCCAAAACAGTCTCTTTTTACAAACATTTAAAAATTAAAACCAAATGAAGATAGACAAGTTAATTTCAGTACAATTATTTTTCAGTGTAGCTGTCATAATTAGTTTAAATTTCCTACAAGTGACCAATGTCCAAGTGACTTATAGGGAAATCCTGATTATTAGCCAAAGGAAAATTCCATATTACAAGTTAGCAAATTCTAGTACAAAAATAGTCCATGTGTCGGAACAGCTTTCCTTTTACATCGGTCTCAGGTCAGTTTGCTGACTGCGTAATACCTAACGCTCCAGATTCTCGCTCACAAATGGCTCACTCGTCGTAGCTGAAGCAGAACAGCACCTGCAGTGGCAGGGGCTAGTGTCCACCTTGGGGCCGTGCTGGAGATGGCAGGCCTGGGAGTGCCTTGCTGGCCCCAGGGCAGCCGGGCAGAGCCCCAGCCCTAGATTCGGACGGGGGGCCTGGAGGGAGGGGTGAGCTGCCCCTCCTGAGGCAGCATCGGGCCCAGGACACAGGGCACGTCTGCCTGGGGAGCTGGGCTGGTGCTGGTACAGGACAGCACGTTTCCTGCCAGTGGCTCCTCCTCCCACGCAGCCTGGCCAGGTCAGAGGCAGCCCGGTGTGCTGTAAGTGGCGAGAGTGTAGCCCTGCCCTTGCTGCAGCCCGGGTAGGCCAGGGCAGGCTACTTGTCCCTTAGGATATCGAGCTGTTCCTGACACTCGGTGAAGAGGCGCTGGAAACGGATGTTCTGCCCGATGACTGGCAGCAGCTCCTTCAGCAGCTCCCTCTTCCGCAGACCCTGTGGGCACAGGAGCAACAGCTGAATGAAAATAGCAATGAGGAGACCTGACTGTGAGGACCTTCCCTGGCCTGGCAGAGACCCTTGTGTCTGCCCATTGGAGAAACCGAACCACGGAGAGAAAAGAACGACTCCTCTGCAAGCAAGAAACCACGGCAGAGCTGAGAGGCTGGGCCAGGCCTGTGTGCAGGACAAAGCGGCAGGCGGAGGGAGCAACGTGGCAGGCGTGGGAAGATGGGGCTCGCCCAGGATCTGCTGGTGCAGTCACTGCTGACCTTCTAGTGACAGGGCAGTGGGTAAAGTGGCTTGGCCTTCCAGGGCAGGATGAAGGTGACATTAAGGCTGAGGGCCAGGTGGATGGCCACTTGGGAGGGGCTGTTCCCTCATGTTGATGTCTCTAGGGTTTAAGGTCAAGCCCTAGGGCAGTGACTGGCTCTGGTTTTCCAGTCCTAGGGCTCTCTGCCCTTGGCTCTTGGTCATGCTTCCTCTCCATCTGGGCATACTGGCACCACAGCCTGCAACACACGCTGCAAGGTGGGGTCTCTGCGATGGGTATACTTGTAACAAGATTAGAAATGATAGGAAAGAACCAAGCATAAACATTAGGCTTGAGTGACACAGAAGCTGCAGGAGCTGAGATGAGCAGGAGGATGGGTGCTGTGAAGACCAAGTCAGATGGAGGAGCAGCCATGCTCCAACAGGGAGGCTCCATCAGAGTTCAATAGTTGGAACAGAAATTGTAAGGATCTGGATGAGTGAAATGTTCACTACCTGATCTGTTACAGAAAAAGATTGCCGACCTAAAATAGATCACATTTTCTGACTAAAACACAATTGAGTAAAACTCATGGATCAAAGAGGAAATTTTAAATTATTTATTTATTAATCCATCTATCCATTCATTCATTTACTTATTTTTAGGGTCTTGCTCTGTCATTTAGGCTAGAAGGCAATGGTGTAAATCAGCTCACTGCAACCTTGAGCTCTTGGGTTCAAATGATCCTCCTGCATCAGTGTCTCAAGTAACTGGGACTACAGGAGCATGTTGCCGTACCTGGCTAATTTTTAAAAAAATATTGTAGAGATGGGGTCTCGCTATGTTTCCTAGGCTGGTCTTGAACTCCTGGCCTCAAGCAATCCTCCTACCTCGGCCTTCCAAAGTGCTGGGATTACAGGTCACCATGCTTGGGCTCAAAGAGGAAATTAGTTTTAATTAATTGAAATTAAAAATGACTTACAAGAGAATGGTAATAAAATCACTAAAGACTCCAACACTGGTGAGATTCAACAAAAGTAGGGCTTTCAAAGGCATTTACAGACACAAAACAGCTTGTACTAATTAGAGAACATGAAAGAATGACAAGCCAAGACTCCAACCTAAGGCATCAGGGGAAGGGAAAAGAAAAACAAAAAAGGATGTCAGGAAAAAAAATTTACAAAGGAGAATATAATAAAAATTGAAATCAATAAAATTGAAAACAAAGATTCAATAGAGAATATGAATAAAGACAAAAGTCATTGTTTGAAAAGTCTAAAGAATAAACCTCTGACAAGATTAATCAACAAAGAAGAAAGCTCAAAGAGATAATATCAGGAATAAAAAAGTGACGTAACAACAGATATAGAAAAGAGAAAAACATATGGGTACTGTCAACAACTTTATGTCAACAAATTTGAACATTTAATGAATTCCTAGAAAAATAAAATTTATCAAAACTTTCTCAAAAAGAAACAGGAAGGATGAGTTAATTATCACCACAAAGAAAACACCTGGTATACTAGGTTTTTAAAGTGCCATCTAAGAAACTTGCAAGGATCACATATTTCCAATTTTATACAAACTCAGAGAACAGAAAATGAGGAACTATTCCCAGCTCATTCTATGAAGCAAATATAACCTTGATTCTAAAACCAGACAATGATAGCATGAGAACAGAAGATTCCAGGCCTATTTTACCCATGAAATCAGATATATAAATCCTTTATAAACTATTAGCAATCAATTCTAACAGTGAATAAAAAAAGAACCATCACTAAAGTGAGTTTATCCTAGAAAACAAGGAGAGTTTACTATTAGAAAACTTACAAATATAAATGACTGTTAACAGATTCCAATACTGCAGAGGCGTGCTCAGCAGGAGCAATAAGACATGGGGAAAAGGCACAGACTTGGAGAATAGTATTAAATGCTTACTTAAGATGACCTGATTGCTTACTCCACTTAGACAAAACTACTGTTACACAAATTAATAAAAATAATAGAAATGTGTAGAAAGATGGCTAGTGACTAATATAACGAAGTAAAATGCATTTATATACAAGCAACAATGAATAATTTAAAAACATAAATAAAATATCATATAGAATAGACACAACCATGAAATATCTAAGAATAACTCTAACAAAAGATGTGCATGGTCTATGTGCTGAAAATTATAAAACTTAAAGGCACTGAAGAAAACCTAAATAAATGAAGAGATAATATAGTATGATAAAGATGCTAACTATTTGCAAATGGACCTTCTGATTCAATGTATCTCTAATCAAATGCACACTAGGGTTTTCAGTGGAACTTGACAAGCTAATTCTGAAATTTATATGGAGGAATAAAAAGCCAAGAATAGTTAAGATACTCACTAGCCTATCAGATATGTAGGTTTATTATAAAGCAAAAGTAATTTAGAGATATCTTGTAGACACATCGACACACTTTGTTATATGGAGAGGCAAAACACACAATGGGGAAGAGGGGGGGTGCTCAATAAACGAAGTCCGAGAAACTAGTTTTCCACATGGAACCAAATAGAAGTGGATTCTCAATTCACAACATGCCTCCAAAGGGTTAAGAACTGAAATGTCAAAACTGTTAAAGAATCTTAATGGGAGCTTTGAAAAAATGGCGGATTAGGGGTGAACTCCTGGCTCTGTGCTTCCAGAGTAGGAGGTGAAGAACCTGGACAACTACACACGAATGAATCGCTCTCCCACAGGATCAGCTTCGTGAATCTGCAGAGAAGCAGTGCAGGACAAGCAATGCTGGGAAAAAAAGGTGAATTGTAGAATCCACTGCAAAGTCTCGAGAGTGTGAGATATACAATAGGGAATAGAGCGTGGGACAGCCAATCCTGACGGCTGGCCGGAGCAGTGTGATCTGACCCACAGGGGCACGATTCTTCCTCCACCGACCTCCACACCCACACAAGCAGGGAAGCTCCTAAAGTCAGTGTGAAGTGGTAGCACAGGCTGACAGTCTGTGTGGAGTAGAGACAGGAGTGGGACTTCTCCTCTCTTTTGACCTCTCCAGTGTGCAGTGTTGGGCCTGCTTTGGGCAGAGGAGGGACTGGTCCGAGCGAGCAGACACTTCCCAGTTTCGCAGGAGGGAGCTTAGAGATAGGCTTCTCACTTCATGAGGCTACCAGGACCAGAACAAGGGAGGTGAACACCAAAGAGGAGGCTCTGCCCTTGCAAATGGCTGAAGATTTGGCTGGCACAGGGTGGGACAGAGTACAGATCCCTCCTGCTGAACAGTTGTGAGTCAGTGTGTTAGGGAAGCAGTGGGCTCAGCAGGTGGCTCTTAGACTCAGTGTGCCAAACCCAGTCCCGCTGCCTGCCATGCAGTTGCCTCCAGCACTGGCTCTCAAGTGGTGGGCAGTCACCATTCTGGGTGTCCATAGCCTAAAGTCACCGGGGCATGTTGCCCAGGCAACAGACTCAGGCAATGGCCCTACCTCTGCCCGGCAGAGCAGGTCCTGCCCTTGGAGGAGGGGAGTAACGAGAGAAGCTGCTTTCTCTCCCAACCCTGCCACTGGCCTTTTCATGCTGGCGGCTTAAGCTCTGCCTTTGAAGGGATGGACAAAGGAGAGAGATCACTTTCTTGCCTGAGTTGCCAGGTGGTCTTGGGCGGCCCCCCGTCCTACCTGGCTGCCTGTGTTTCATGCCAAAAGGACAGACCCCACCCTTAGAAAGGCAGAGTAGCAAAGGAGGCTGCTTTTCGAACCGTGACCCAGGGCAACATTACTGCCCCTACTTTCCTGTGACTCGGCCACTGGGGGGCTTCGCGCCAAAGGGACAGACTCTGCCCCTGGAAGGGCGGAGTAGTGAAAGGGGCCGCTTTTCGAGCCCAGACGCACCCCTTTGCTTAGTCTCTGCCACTGGGCTCCTATGCACCAAAGGGACAGATCCCACCCTTGAAAGGGTATAGTAGCGAAGGAGGCTGCTTTTCAAGCTTCTTTGAACCACGGTGGCATCACCACCACCACCTTCCGGTGACTTGGCTGCCCAGGTGCTTTGCACAAAAGGGACATACCCCCACCCCTGGAAGGGCATAGTAGCGAAGGGGCTGCTTTTCGAGCTAAGTCCCGCGGTTGCCTCTTTGCTATGACTTGGTCCCAGGCGCCTCCTACCAAAGGGACAGACCCCACCCTTGGAAGGGCAGAGTAGCGAGGGAGGCTGCTTTCTGGGCTAAGACCCACCAGGGTGGCGGACGGCCCTTGGCTTCGACCAGGCCAATGGTATTTCATACAGAAGGGACTGACCCCGCCTCTGGAGGGGTGGAATAGTGAGGTGGGCCACTTTCTGGTTTGGGACCCTCAGTGGCCTTGGGCAGGGCTTCTCCAACAGCCCTGAGGTGTGTACTTCATACCAAGTAGACAAACCCTGCCCTAGGAGGGGCGGAGTAACGAGAGTAGCGACTTCCTGGGCTGAGGTGGTGGGCAGGAAGTGCCCTTCCCCCAGTCCTGTGGGTTATCTTCCCCTCTGGCAGGGCAGTCCTCGCCCTTGGAGGAAGGGAGAAATGAGAGAAGACATTTTCCAGGCTGGGACTTGTGGCATCTCAGCTGATGCCCTCTACCCCAGCCCACCAGGACAAACTCACCCCTTGAAAGCAGGGAGAAAGGAGAAAAGTTGCTTTCCCTGCGTGACTAGCTTGAATCTGTGGGACCTTGGAACTAAGCCAAGGGAACAGATTGCTGATTTGATAAAGTAGGTTGGTTTTGATCATC